ATGCCTCCCGCGTTAGTTATGGGAGCGCCAACTTCGAGACTATAGACGTCTTTCAATCCATGTTCATGATAAGCTGTTCCTCATAATGTATTATTTACGGAATCAGGACTGCGTTGTAGCTACCTACCCACGTTGGCGGTGTCATGTCAAACTTCCGTCCGTCTTTCCAGCATGTGGCTACTCACGAAACTTAACACTCGTCCGTCTTCACTTTTTATGTATATTCAGGCCTTCCAGTACCAGGAGAGAAGATTCAGTGAGTCTTATTTGAAATAATATTCGCTGCCGAATACTACAGATGCCTTGATTGGGCTTGCAGATTACGAAGCCCTCTAAGCAGGACAACCATATCTTCCAGCATCGTGGCTTTGAGACAAACTCATCCAGCCGAAAGGTCATTTTACAAGGTGAACACGCCGCCGTTGATTCAATCAACAATGTCCTCGAATCCGTCAATATAGTCACACCAATCCACGTCGTAGTATATCTCGCAACGACACTCTCTTTGAATAACAGCCGGAAGCCAGCTGATACGTACAATAGGCTAAGACAAGTTACACCGCGAGCCAAACGGTGGAATCTTTGCCACGGAGTAAGTCGAACCATACTCGAGGAACTCGCCCACATTCAGGCCACCAAACTCAGCCAACGTACTTAAACGTTTCCTCCGCCCATCGAGGTGCCCGTTCAAGTGTCGTCAACCCGCCCGGAACGACGCACGTGCCCCCACTCGGCCCCCAAGACGTCCCCGGGGCCGTGAAATGCGGGGCCACATGGACGCCTACCGCACCATCACCTGTGAGCTTGGGCGAAGGACACATCCCGAGTTGCTGTAGATAAAGTACTTCTGTCACTTGTGAGCTCATGAAGTCAGATACATTTTCTAGAGGCACATAGGATGTTTCTCAGATCATTCGTCACATACAATGAGGTTACTATAATCAACCGGTGAAATACATGTGGCTGCTACCGCTATGCCTGCTCCGTAAACACCATCCCATGCCATTGATCATCCGCTCTAGTTAAACTTGCGTCACTCACTATTTCAGCAACACCGCCGTGTTGCCAGAAAATTTCCAATATTCCAAAAGATATACAAGCCAAGTAATGTCGAGATAAGTACATTGCAGAAAGTTATGACAAATCCGAGCTCCCAGCCCGCGAAGGTCGCCCTGCTGCCCCCGAGCCAAGGTCATGCAACAGGCTCCGTAAACTCTCGACCAAGGGCGGTAAAGGCTCCGAAACCACAGGGAAATTGTTCCGGAAAATGTCTCTCGCGATAGAGAGAACCACGCTCGGATTTGAAAGCGATTCCACTCCATCGGCAGGGTTTCCGTTGATGGTGATGCCAGGTACTCCGCGGTCAAGCTGGAGAAAAGCTCTGGTGTCCCGGTTTTCGTCCGAATCCATCAGCGTGTATCCCGACGTAGACCTGCTAGTGCTCATGCCGTTGCCAATTTCTTGGTCGGAACCATGTCTAGATGCCGAACATGATAGCAACCCATATGCCCATAGCGTGAGACATGCGTAATACACGGCGATGGCGTTGAATTCACGTAGCGACGCAGGTGGAAGCTGGCGAGCATGGTGAAAAATCTGACCAGCATGCCATATCGCGTAACGTGCCTCGGACGTCCTTACCCAGCTGTCTTCCAGGCTGGTATACGTCCTACGAGCCTCGTCCTCTCCCGATTTGCCAGCAAACGTCTGCAAGATGTCGGGAGAGACGTGTAGGAGCATCATGAGAAGCTCTGACATGACTGCAAGTTGAGCTGTGGGCCGCTTTGATGTGAGGATCATGGTTGAAAAGTCGTTCAAATCTCGGTAGAGCTCCTGATACTGTGTTTTGAGCCACAGGCGGTGGGTCGCATTCCTCTTGCTCGAGAGACCATCGGCATAGAACTTGATGGCTTCACGGTATGCCGCTATTTGACCCCAGTAGCCATGCAGCAAGGCCATGTAACACAATTCTGTATCGACCAGTTGGTCGAATTCGTCCAGAATTTCAGTGCAGTGCATCACTTCTGATACACGTGGGATGATGCGGTCTGGGGCTGCGTTTGTTTTGGCGACATACACGTTCCTCCATTGCTCAGCGGATCGTGCTCTCCATAGATCTCGAGAAGCAGGAAGGCTGAAGTTGAGTTCGGTGTAAGACATTAGTGGGTTTTTGCAGAACCCGATAGAAGTTTGAATATCGTGAAAGAACATATGCAAAACAAGGCGTTTGTAGGATTCACGCTTCGCAAATTTGCGCCACTTCGAGTCCAGGACCTCGGGGGAGTCTGTCATCATCGGGATCATAGCCGAAGAGTCTGGTGGGGCCGAGAAGTTTCCTGCACGTCTGAGCATGGTCATCGGGGGCTGCAGGAAGCTCTCCGCAATTTCCATCTTCCGCTTGAAGCCACTCCAGATGCCAATATCTAGGTTGAGCATGAATGCTTGGAGAGCCGCCAGTTCTCGCGTGAATGAGTTTGAGCCTTCGAACTAGGCAATATTAACAAGATAATTTGCTGCAAGGCGGATGGTCAAAGGGGCTATCGACTTACCAAATCTGCCAGCCCAAGCCGGAGCACTTCATGTAGCGAGAACCCGAACTGCCACACAGCAGGAATGGAAATATACGTAGCACCGCTGGACAGAATACCAGCAAGTAGTTCTGGAATAGCAGCAGCAGCATCAAACGTCGCCAGATGAATCCAACTGTCGCTCTGGTGCTCATCGTGGATGAAATGGGCTTGCACGAGGTAATTCAGGAGATCCAAAGAAGGGAAAGATGGTGTACGTGTGCGACCGCCTTTCGAGACTGTGCTAGCTACCACCATGGCCAGAAGACTGTCTCTTGAGAGGGAAGTCATCTTTAGCTTCGTGCCCGGAGTATTGATGAGCTTATCGAAAGCGGGGGAATTAGCAAAGGTGCCGTTGTCAAGAATGAGCTGCTCCTTGTCCTGCGGTGACGCGTGATGCAGCGCGTAATCCTTTGGCCCCGGCTCCCACAGCCAAGGCGACCGTTTGAAGGCCGCGTGTGCCTTTGACGCATTTCTTGTGTTTGATTTTGACCGGCTGGTTGTAGTGGACTCGGGGGTTTGGTTGATCTCAGGTTGTGGGATGGTTATGGCGTCAAAGTTCAGGTCCCATGAGGAAAAGTCCATGTCCTGGAAGTACGTGTGTACTGGATTGAAGTTGACAATATCGTCCATCACCATGTCCATGACAGGGTTCGAAAAGCCATCGTCCATGTAAGAGGATGCGTCTAGATCATGGCTCATATCGGGGTTTGGTGGCACCATGACCAGTTTGGAGGCCGTATAAACGGAACCTGTGTCCATGCTGCCGTTCATGTCGACGCTCATATGCAGTGTTGATGTCTCGGAAGGGCTGGAGGCGCCATCGATTGACGTCCGGTGAGGATGCGTACGCTTCGAGGGGACTTCGCATGGTAAATTCTTGGATCGACAGCGAGAGCATGGCTTGGCATCCTACAAGTGTATCAGCCTACTGGTGCTTTTGGGCAGGACTATAGTTTTTCCCGGAGGAAAGGGGTGGGGGGGTTACCTCGCATTTTGACTTGGAAGCGGCACAATTCAGGCACGCCTCGGCAGCCCGATCGCTCCTCCGTATGAAGGTTCTACCCTTGCCTGTATTATCTCGGTCGTGGGTTGTCTCATGACGGGTGAGGAGGTCGGCTCTATTGAATCGCTTGGGACAGCGGGAGCACTGGTAGGGACGAGCATTCTCATGAGAGCGTAGATGTCTCGTCAGATGATCGGCCCGCTCGTAGACACGCTTGCATATATGACATACATGTGTCGAAGAGGGAGAGGTGTCGGATGTGCTCAGTTTGCGTTTCCCGGGCTGTTGGGGTAAAGGTTGGGCCGATTGTTTCGGCAGTTCCGGCGGGGAATAGAGGGGGTTCAGCATGTCAGAGCCGGCGGCATCGCAAAGGATGTCGATGCCGTTCATGATATGTTTGGCGAACGGTGGGCGGGAGGGAGGAGGAAGATGTAGATGGGGCCGGAGGTTAGATTGAGTTAGGTAGAATTGATGATGAGCTGCAGAGGCTCTTCGCGCAAGTCTTGCGACGGCAGCGGCATCAGGGAATTGGGCACCGGGAAGTGGCGGGGAAGTTTACCTCAGGACGGCAGCAAAGTGGAGCAGTCGAGCTCATATTCTGGGGGAAGGCCCGCGGTGGGCAGGGCAAGAAACACTGAGCGGGCATGGCCGCACTGCGGGCACGGTAATTGGCATGTCACGGCGGCCGGGGAAAGGTAACTCCACGCACATATTTGTATGGAAGGGTACTTTGCCCAACCTCGATGCTCATCTGTACCTTTTTGCGGGGTTTTAGGCCCAAACCTAAGACAGCCTGGATAATGGAAGGGGGGAAATACATAGATACCCAGCGCCAATGGGGACCAAAGCCGTTGGATTTTGCCTTGCCGTGGTTGGCTGCGGAACCGGAGCAGATGGTCAGGCTGGAGGACGACAAGACGGGACGGGAGCGTAATGTCGATGCTCGATTCGCTCACACGTTGTCGAGAGTCTAAATCTGACTGACGGTTCGTTGCAACTCGTTGCACTCGAGGACCTTGCACACCATTTCGTGTCGAGTCGGCCCATGGCTGTTTCTTCCTTGTGGGGTCGACAAGCCTTGTTCATGAATACGAGGCGGTTGAGACAGGAATAAGGAACAATTCGAGAACAAATACCTGGGACTCTCTGAGAATAATGGAACTGAAAGCCCTCCGATTGACGTCTCTGCTGCATTGCTGGGCATCGAAGACTAAATGTCATCATGGCGGACCAAGTTCAAGAAGAAACAATTCCTTTGATAGGGACAAACTCAACCAAAACGAGCCGCAATGACAACCTTTAGGGAGCGACGACATCCTGGAGCACTAGGATAGGTCAAGTACTAGCTCCACAACGGTCTATTGACGACTCCCACCCTCACTACCTACACTTTAGTAAGAGTAGACCGGTAGTGATGATGATGACATTTACGTGAGATTGGTGGCCCGGATTGATGACTTGCTCCTGCTGGTCATCTGTCTTCTATTGCTTTTCTTCGGGTCAAGAACTTTCCATGACTGAAACCCATTCTGAGTCTTGGGTTCTCCTGTTTGACAGTGAGTGCTAAGATTATCACAGAGAGGACCCATAGATCCACAGGTACTGTCCCGTCCAGAGTGTCCGGTTGCGGACCGGAACGATAAGGTTTGCATATCTGATTAAGATACAGCAGGACCCTGGAGGAGATGCACTCCGTTGCCATAAATAAAGGTGATTTGGGGGGGGGGGGGGGGGTAAATGAGATATTTGTCTGGGTCCTGGGTCCTGGGTCCTGGGTCACATCTAAGTGCGAATTGTCATTGTTCCTTGAGGTATTCTGACTTCAAATTGTGTCGGGGCTCTCTGTCGTGCGTGATTTCCCCATGGCCCGCTGGCAGGCAATTTGATTCTCAGGTACGGATAGAAGGAGCGGATTCCCGTACTCCGTACTTCGTATCCACCCAGTTTCGACAACTCACGTGAATGAATCCTGCTCACAATTCACAACTCACTTGAAGAATGAATGAAGAAGTTGCGATTGAGAGTGAGGCAGGCAGGTGGGGACCAGTGCTTCAGATCGGAAAGTGAGGGAGGAGCGCATTCGAGACGCGAGCCAATCAGGCAGTTGACACAACAGACAGCAGGTGCCATCGAGGAAGTTGTCAATTCTCAACTTCTCAACCCAACGCAGCCTCAATCCATCCTTGCTTTTTCTTCCCTTTCTTTCACCAGCTCTGGCCGCCATTTCTTCTGTCACTTTTCCACTCCTTCATCCTCTTTGCAATGGAACTTCACAGTGCTGAAGCTTGACGTCCCTCCGAAACTAACGGTGAACACTGCCAAGCATCGTCTCTTCACACCGGTGTAGTAGCTACCCTTCCTTTCCTCCTTTTCCTCGTCCAACTCAGCTTGCCGACCCCTGAACAAATCACCAGCGCTTGCAGACATACCCTGTCTCGTCATATGATGCGTCCAACCAATACCTTACTCTACTCATCGCTGCGATTCAGTATACCGATTCGATCTTCGCACAGCCTGGCGCTATCCAACCTGGGGGGAATCCTCACCGCGCGGCAAATCCATGACATCTGGGCCAGGACCACCAGTGCTGTCACTTATGACGGTTTTGCATGTCTTACGATGAGAGACATGACCGCCCATACAATTCTCATCTTTCCCTTGCCAACCCGGGCACTGGCATCTCCCGCAAGGCGGCTTCTCAGGACCCCTCACGATCCGTCACGATCTGTCAGAGACCCGGCAACCCACACTCTCTGATTCTTGCCATGTCGCCCAAAGTCATTCCTGAGAGCAAGACGTGCTGGGACGCTACGAAGCTAGGGACATGGACCTGGATCTCAGCTGGAATGCACCTTCCTGGATGCCGGCCCTGCTTTTTGACAGGCCTCTGAACTCCCTGTCGAGTATTGCAGGACGTCCACTCGTGCGTCCTGCACGCCGTTTGGTGTAACGAGTCTGACCCAGCTGGCAACTCCAAGCTACCTTACAGCTGTGTGTGTCAGTGGAACCGTGGGATCGGGACCGATTGGGCTGATAGGGGACCTGATCGCAACACAACCACCTGAACCCACGCAAGCCCGAGGTCCGCCATGCATCACCGCTGTTTCCGTCCTCCACGCCGACCTCCCATCCCCGTTATAGCCCGTCGGTCCGCAGCTACAGACACAGCTACGAAGCCCCGCGCGGCAATCCAGAAACGACTTGTCATCACTCCAAGGCCTGCACAAGATGCAGCTCGCAACCTTATGCTGAATATGGTCATTAGAATCGCCATCACCTGCCAGGTTTCCATCCAACGCGATACTCTCTTCAGAGAGACTGCTACCTTAATCCGCACTTGATATCCAGTGCCAAAGTACCTCTTTGCTTTTCGACTCATCGTCTCTTTCCCCTTTCCAACTGCGATACCACCTCGATCTTGAGCGATATACACATCAGGGGATCGGGTTTTCCCCCATGCAACGACAGGCATTGCTGTGCCCATTCGTCGCAAAAACGGGCTCAGCACCAGCCAATACCACACCCCCGGTGTTATCTCCGAGCAAGCCACAACCCGCGTCCCGTCCGGCACTGTCGCGATCGGGGCCATGCGATGTGCTCCGGTCCATACAGGTGTCGTCTGCCTGCATCTGAATACTCCGTTCTTGGTCCCAAGATCGAGGGTGGAACCTGCACAAAGGTACACACCACTCGAGTCCCGTCGTCGTATCCATACCTCTGACATCAATTCCGATTCGAAACAGTCAAGGTTCAAACAAGTTGCGAAAACGAATGAAGAACCTGTATGGTGTCTGATTGAAGCAAGTATGCCGAAAGCGGCTACCATTACATTTCCAAACTCCCCCTCCAGGCCCAAGCCCAAGCGCCAGTTGGTTTGCCCATGTTGTTCTTACCCCTCTGCTCACCCATCTCCCGCCCATTCTACCCCTCCGACTGTACATTCCGATCTGAAAATCGGACAGACATGGCTCGTTAACATTACAGGGCCAGTACCCAGATTGGCCCACCCATCGATTTTGATCTGCCCCCTTTTTTCCCATTCCCTCCAATGAACCCAAAAAAATGACGGAAGAAAAAAAAGAGGATGAAAAGAATTCCTCGTACTCGAACAAGCACAACCCCCTTTGGTCATCTCATTCTTGCTCGCACACAACCCCTCAATCTATAGCCCTTGTGTGTCGCCGTTCGCCGTTGTCCCGGGGTATCGTAATTGTTTTAGTGGTTCCCAATATCGCATCGCAGTCCCAGCTATATGACTCTTGATCGGGGGATTTCAGCGCTGTACAAGAGTCAGCCTCACCGCCACATCTTTGCAATGACGCGGGAAGAAGTTGGAGAACTCACATGAGCTGTCTTAGCCGCAGGGGGTGCCGCAGTAGCCGCACTCTTTTCCGGGTAGTACCCACACCTCTTTACCTGAGGCATGGCACGTAGGGCAGCGAATGCCTGGGAGAAGGTGCTGAGAAAAGAGAGTTAGTTCGGGCCCTGTGTGGACGTGGGGTGCAGCCATGCACACTCACCTGTTTCGAGCCGCTCTTGGAGGACGACGATGGCTTCTGTTGGTTTCGGAAAGCGGTCTTGTCGACCTGGCAGTGGTTTGAGCAGACCATGTTGGCGAGATGTGATGGCGAACTTGGTTGGTTGACTGTGGTTCTGGTTCGTGGGATTTGGATTCGAAAAGGTGTGGTGGGGGTTTGGTTGGTTGGGGTTGGACTCGAAGTCGATGTGTTGTTGATGGAGGTTGAAGTTTGGCTGCGTCAAGCTGATGTTCCTTTGAACCTGTAAAATGTCCGATGATGGTGATCTGGACAAGGCGAGAGAACTCCAGGCGGCAACCGTCGATACTTATAGTTTGGCAGATTCCTTTGAAATCGCACGACAAGGACAAAGCACTCGCTAGCTGGGCCGTCGAGACGGGCAAGGACCAGGTCGGCACAGCGAGGGAGACTTCGCTCCAGGCGGGAGCGGGTGTTCCAAGTCCCTGTTCTGGTTACTAGTGCAAGAAGAAAATATGGCAGTGCCATCTGATAATAATCAAATCGGCGAGCAACCGGCGGAAGGCCGCCAGCAGAAAAGTAGCAAGCAGCAAAAGAAACCAAACAGGCCGGTAGACCGGTACAGTGCAGAACATGGCACATATCACATTCTGGTGCGGGACTAGCAGAGACCCCCCCAGAGGCGTAGGTATCAGTGGCAGTTCAGCGATGAACGACGGTGGCGCGAACCAGGTTGCCAGGATAGGCATGGGTACAAGGATCTGAACGATGGGGGATGTGGATGGATACCTTGGGATCACTCTACTTTGTTCGAGGGGGGGAGCAAGGTGGGGTGGAACCAGGCCCCATGGTGATGGCTGAAGAATTGTTCATCGGGAACGACCGTAAGGTACGGTACATACACGCTTCGTTTGTGTGTGTGTGTGTGTGTGTGTGTGCGTTGTGTGCCGTGGGCGTGGGCTGCGTGTGTGAGCGTAGGTAGTTGCGTGTACATGCATGCTGGTGTGTCTCTTGTTTCCTTCTTGCTTTTGGCCTGTCTGTCTGTATGTATGTTTCCTTGGCTTGGCACGACTAGGTCGAGCTAGCTCTTGGGTTTCTTGTCTATGGGGAGGGGTGGAGGGGGGTAAGTAGAAGAAGAAGGCGAAGGCGAAGACGAAGAAGAAGATGAAGAGGTGATTGGGAGTTTGTGCGAGGATGGTACTTTGGTCTACGGGAAAACCAAGAAGCCCATTCTTTTACTTGTATTTTCATTCTTTCCTTTGTGGGTATCGTAGACTCGTGGGTAAGACAAGACAGACAGACGCCGAACCAGCTCAAGCCGTGAAAGCCATGAGGTGCCCTCTCTGAGTCTCCAAACGGGAGACACGGCTCGGCTGGCGGCGGCTCCTCTGGGGGCCTGGCCTGAGGGATGGACGGAGGTTGGTTGATTGGTTTTTGCTCTCTTGTTTTGTTTTACCGTGTTTTTTTCTTCGTTTTTTTATATCCCCGAATCCTCCTTGTTTGGAATTAGATACCATCATACCAGGGCATCACCACGCGGTAAGAAGTATTAGAAAGCAAAGGTGAGGGCAGAAGCGCTAGCTGCCTAGGTAGTCCTCATTATTCTCTACCCCACACACCTCTCTCTCTCTCTCTCTCTTTCCCTCATTCTCATTCTCTCTTTTTTCTTTCTTAAACCATGTAAATCCGGATGCTCCCCCCCTTCCCCCCAATCCCAATCCCCCCATGCCCATGCGGCCATGGCCCCCCCGGGGTTGCTCATTGGCCCCTGGCGGGCAGTCGATCGCGAGGCTAGTGCAGGCAGGGGTGTATTCGAACAGGGAGCGAGCAGAAGAATAACCCAGATGAGTGGATGTTCCAGAGCTCTGTTCGATCTGCCCCGGGATTCCGCGCCGGGGAATTCCTTTCTCTGTGACTGTGTGACTTTGCAGCAAAGAAAAGAGAGGGGGAAGTCCATTGCTGTGTATGTAGTTCAAGTACTGCGTAGTCATTGAATCATGGCAAGGTTAAGGTATCTTTCGCGAAAGAACCCCCCCGGTACGCCCCCCTCCCCTCCCCATATCTAGGTATTCTCTCGCTGTTTACTCCGTACTTCTCCCAGTAACGCACGTATGAACGGAGAAAGAAAAGACTTTGGGAAACTCTGTAATAGTGTATCCGTACTACACTTCATACAATGACCCATGTTGTCCCATGTTGTCCCATGGAGCAGACCCTCCCCGTGGATTCCTCTACTCTGAACTGCAGGTATCCGGTAGCCAACAGGAAAAACCCTGCAGAATCGTCGCAACCACCCCCCTAGAGCCGACGTGGAGGCTCAAACGGCTCTCTGTCCCCCCCTCTCTTCCCATGGTTCTTCTTCTTACCCTAGCGCTTCCTTTTTGGGGGGTGGTTTAGAGGGGGGAAGATCGGTTTATAGACTCCACATCGCGGATGGGTATGACGAAACATCAACGAAAGCGACAACACGATACTTTTTGGCTAGCACTAAGATAGCTCGGACAATATTTCAAATTGGCTTATTTTTTCGCCTTTGGTAGAGTAGAGGAAAACATGGCAAGTGTAGGTAAGGGAGGGGGTGGCGGCGGAAAAGGAAAAAAAAAACAGGGCTTGTTAAGTGCCTTTGGGTCCATCGCAAATACTATCGCGTGCCCGTTTGCTTTGGTAAACGCCCCCAACGGGGACTAGCTTACTAGAGTGAGAGAGGGAGGAGGGGGAACGGGATGTGGCTGGAATAATTCAATCACGACGAAAGGGGGCCTCGTAATCCTCTGCAACAAGAGCCACGGAAGTTGCAGTCGCAATGCAGATTGCCAACGAAGGCACAATAAAGTTTGGAGAATGTCTGGATTGGACGTTGTTGGGATAATCTGATGGGCATGGCGAAATGCACGTAATAAGTCCAACCTACCTAGTTCCTGTGTTTAGCGGGTGCGAACTACTGCGCAGAGATGAATAAGGTAATGGAGATCCAATAAGAGACGACATATAGGTAGTTTCTGTTGTTTGCGTGTGTCAGTGAGTGAACGAGTGTGTGCGTGTGTGTGTAAGTAAGCCTGTAAGGCGAAAAAGGCCGAACGGTAGTGTCAAACGTCCACGAGGGAAGATGCTTGCCGGGGAAGGGCTTGTATGGCTACCCGTTCGGAGCACTGACTCCTAAGGACTCCTCTTCATGGGCACCAGGTGATGACAAGCCCGGGAGGAAGCTGTACCGTAAACTCTGTTTGCCCAGGCTTCAGCCTAAAAAAAGAGGTGACGGCA